CTTTGTCWYGTYTGGTGACWGTCAYGCTGCYCTGTGGCACAGCTTTCCTGRTGCYACTCAGTGGAAGGCTGAGCCCTGAGGGGCACATGGGTGAAAGAAACTCCTGATGCACAGACACTTTATGTGAGAAGTGCTGACTCCTCCTGAGATGCCTCTGCCAGCAAGGGTTTTAAAGCAGRATATCTGGAGGAGCAAAAGATGAGAAATAATTTCTTTGGCAGCTTTAATTTATCTTTGTGAAATACAAACGAACCCAGTTAATGACTCTTTAGCTCGGTCACTCCTTTTCATGCTGACATCCTGCCTGTCATTACAGTCACTGGGGGTGGGAGGTCGTGTGGCTTCAGCACATCTGCCCCAGGTGATGACAGGGCACAGCTACCTGTGGAGGAGGAACCAGAGATGAAAACAAATTGTTTTCAAGCTGTTTCCACATTAAACACTAGAAAGAGAAAGCCCCACTTGCAGTTCCTGTGAAACAGTCAATTGTGTGATTACTGGAGAAAGGTTTGTAGCTTTTCTGGAACAAAGCCCCAAAACATGCCAGTACAAAGGTCAGGCAGCAGTGGAGAATAAGATTTCTTGCAGAGGTGATAGAGTACACCTTGTAGAGCAAGCAGGGAGCTGCAAGCTTCTGAGTTTGGGTTAATGAGGGGACATGGTTTTGTTCAGAGCTGGTTTTGATTTGCCTCTCAGGTGAGCGGAAAACCATCGTGTCSTGCACTCGGATCATTAACAAGACCATGACACTGGTGAATGACAGTGACTGCCAGCGAGTGAGCCGCCCCGAGCCCCAGGTCAGGAAATGTAACACACACCCCTGCCAGTCACGGTAAGGACTTCCAAAACACTCAAAACCAATATCCTTTTTCTTCAGCAATTGCCCCTTTCCAGAGCCTCCATCTGGTGAACACAGTCAACATGTCTCAAAGTATTGGGACACATTGTTAGCCACAGTAAGCAGCTGTAATATTCATTTCCTTTTGTTGAGCAGGTCAGATTTTCATTACCTCAGACAAAGCCCATTTAATTTGTGGTCAGTAAGGCCAGATTCCATGCAGGCTGCCTTCATGCATTGTTTGGGGATGGTTTTCTTTTCCCCTTGGCTGCCTCCTGGGAGACAGAACAGCTTACAGTATAAASTTAGACAAGAGTACAGTGACTGCATATCTAACCTTTCTTTTTTTTGAATCAGCACAAAATGGGGTCTGATTAACTGTCAAACAATGCTACAAAAACCTTAAGTCAAAAAATTAGAGAAATTATGGTGAAACACATTTTAGAATGCTTTCCTCTGTCAGGGTGCTTTTCTCCTCAATAGTAGAGATGTCTAAAAATAATAAAAATATCTTTTAATTTGGCAGGCACTTTCAGCTGAATTAATTTTGATCTTTCTTTGTATTAAACAAAAGACATTTTTGACCAAAATGACAAAAGACAGGAGGGTAAATTAGTTTCTTAAGTTTGTTTGCTAACAAAAAMATTCAGTCTTGTTCTGCAGTGATGTTTAGCATTGTAGGGTCGTGTAGCCACTCCAATTTTGTTAGTAGTTAAAATGATACCRAGATCAGGGGTCTAATCATGTAYGGGCCATTCACTTAAGAGTACAAGGACTCAATGAKCCTTGTGGTCAGAATATTCTGTGATAAAATCAATGTCAGATAAAGCTGAGCAATACCTAAAAAAGCATCTTCAAACCAACCTGCTGGCTCCTGTGTCTTGTATCATCAGACAAGCCAGGGAAATGCACCTACAAAGCTAATTTTGCTGGCAGAAACAATGGGGGGAACAACAAACAGCACATTTCCTTCTAATTAGACCTGCACTCTGATTCAAGTGCCCTGGAGCAGGGAAATGCAATGTCAGGCCATCCATCAACAAGGCTGGTTCAGGTTTCGGTTTCTGTCTGCACTGCCTGTTATTGCTGCTGTACAATGTTGTGGCTGTACAACTTTCAATACTGAAAGGTGTAATGAGATATCTTCCTGGTGTGTAAGGAGAGCCAAAATCCCAATGGCTTCAAGGAAACAGCTGTCATTCCCATGAGGGACTTCAGTGAGCTTGGGATTTCTGTCATGTCCCTCTCTCTGAAAGAAACAGAAGCATCTGCTGTGTTGCTGCCCTGGCATAAAGCATTTCTCCCAGACTTTTWGAAAAGCTGTTGTGGGGAGACTGGAGTAAGCCCAGGCAGGTATATGGAGGGGTTCCATGTGGCAGAGAGGAATAAAAGGAACTTTAGAAGTTCTGGAAGTGGGCAGCTTCTACCTCCACCAGCTGAGAGCAAGGACAGGAGATCCTGGCCATGAAKTTTGTTACAGCCCTGAGAGCCACAGTGTGCTCAGAGGGATCTCCATCACCCTGAACCTCAGGAGAAGTCTCTTTGGTGCACTTCCACCATGGCATTGCTGCCTGTCCAGGGCTGTGGGTGGATGAGGTTCAATCCTCCTGAGACAGGATTACTCTGCTCCATTATCCAGTCTCTGATCCTTTGGGGAATTGGGTCCAACCCTTGATGTTATTCCAGGTATCTGTTCTTGTGTGTGGAGCTGCCAGGCAGTTTGCAGCCCCAGTTTAGCACACTGCCCAGCTGCAATGGGCTCTGGCACAGGGACACTCTCCTTGGCCTGTTTTTTTCAGAGCAATGACAGCAGGCACTGAATGTGCTCAGAACCCGGAAAGGCCACAGAATCCTTGCTGATGATCTGATAGACCACACTCCCTCACTCCCTCCGTGTAGACTACACTTTCACACTTAACATGCTTTTAACTGGAAACATTTTCAGAAGCACATTCTCTGTGCCTCTGTAGAATTTAAATTTCCACTTGCGTTTGCCCACCCAGACATTAGAAATGCATGCTTAGCATATTCTCTGACCAAGAACATCTTAAAGAAACCATTCTCTTTCACCATGTCAATGCTTTTTTTATGAGCCCTGAATTTGTTTTAGGGTTTCAAGTAAAATTATTGTAGCATCTTGTTACAATAAGGTCCTTTCCCGTTTCTACTCAGACCTAAGCCCTTCACCTGAGTTCAGAAGRAGGAACAATGCTCTCCTTTCTCTAATAAACCTGCTCTGTTTTGTGCATTTTGAACTGCATTTGCACTTTCACTCAAAATTTAAGAGAATCACCTTTCAGAGTATTTATCTCTAGAGAGGGGTCTTTTGGCCAGCACAGGACTGGGTCAGAGGACACTCAGTCTCTGTTTCACTTTTGGATGGGCTGTGTGACTTTAATTCTCTATCCCACAGTGTCCCTTTGTTTCCTCTCTCAATCCATGTATAACCTAGATTGCAAACTCTTTGGAATAGGGTGAGATCATATYGTTTAAGAGGAGGAAGAGGCTGTTGCTGTTGAGATTGTAATAAAAATTTAAAAAGTAGTTACTCAYGTTTATAAAGTGATCAGGAGAAAATAAGGTATGTTATTAATAACAGTGTCTTTCTTCCAGCACGATCCCAAAGTGCTTTGTAAATTGTATATCCCTTTGAACTTCAGCCACCTCTCAGGAGAGCCAAATAATGTAGGGCAGGGGACAGTGCTTTCATGAGGCCAAGGAGAAGATTGGAATTCTCCAACTGCAACCTAGCATCTGAGAAAAACAAAGCAGGATTTAAAACTTGATTGGATACACTGACATGTTTTAAAATTAAACGTCAGAGAAGAGAATTTTCTTAAGGGTTTTGTTGAAACTGGCAAAAATAAAAGAATCTTTCATTCTTTATTATTGTTACTCTTTCACCTTTTTAAAAAAATGCCTCTTTTTCTTCCTATTTTATTTTTTATGTTCCTTGACCCTCTTTTTCCATTAAATTCTTTACAGCTTCCTTTCCTGTCCCAACTGCACCYTATTAGCACCTCTTTATTCTAATCCTTTGCCTAGCTCTTTAGATATTTTTTACAAAACCCCGCTGTAAGCAGATGGAATCTGGATTCCTGCATGCAGCACATATGGGTCGCTTCCAGCACCAACCCAAACACGGCAGCAAASCCAGCCCTGGGCTGGCACCAGCCTCACAAATCCCAGATCCCATCAGCTGTTATTACTGAAAACACAGCTCGGGAGTGGCCACACACTTCTGCATGCAGGCTATGAAACTGCTCCCCTCCAATGCAGGAAAAGCACCAAAACCACATGAAATTCCCCAACTGTTGGGCTTGTAATGGACTGTGTGCAAACACTGGGAATTTTTCTCCTTTTTGCTGKATGAGGTTTTAGGAGAGGTTGAGTCTTTTCAGGGGTTTGCGGAATATTTGATGTTCCTACATGGATGCTGAACAGCAGCATAAATGCCAGAAATCCCTGGCTGCATCTACAGAAAACCACAGGAGACCTTGAGCACTTAGTTTCACTGTTTAGGACTTGAAAATACCTCCTTGAGCCCAAGGGTTAGTTTGCTGCTGCTACCAGTAGCCTTTCTAGAAACGGATTGTTTTCCTCAGGCTCCTTCCCTCGCTGCTCCTGTGACCTTGCTGTTCATGTGGGTCAGAACCTTTTATTTCCAGCCTTAGTTATTCATTGTCATTTTTCAAYCTCTTTTTTGTGCATCAGCTCTACTCCTTTCCTTAGGCAGTATTTTCCCTCCCTTCCTCCCTGCCTCGGGCTAAGTGCCACAGGATACAACAAACCATTGTATCTCCTCCTTCCATCATTTTTCTGGGCTAAATCCATTACTTTGACTTCTTATTGCTTTTTTCATGGCTGTGTCATATTTGTGGCTTAGAGTCATTCGAGATGTTTTCCTCCTCATTTGTTTCATTGTATGAAACCTACTTTAATGCAGAAATGCTTATTATTAGTCCCTGAGCACTCAGCCTTGCACTGTGTGCTGTTTATTTMCATCCTAGCTTTGTTATTGCAGTACTCAAGGTTATTCAGTTCTTCCTGGATGACATCCTGATCCTCTGAGGCATTGACACTTCTTCTTTGTATTGTCAGCATTTTCCCCAATTTTTCAGCAATTTTCTTCCTTTTGTGCCAAGATCATCAATGAGCATACTAAATTAGATCAAATACAGGACAGACCTTTCAGGAAGCCCACKAGTAACTGATCTAAATTCCTTTCATACCTGCTGCTCCTTTGCAGCACTAAAGGTAGATGAGAGGCCAGCTCTCACCTCCGATACAAAGCACACAATTATTCCATGTTTCCCAGCATGTCACCAGTAAGCATTTCCCAGGCAGCAAAAGGAGTTCTTCACCAAACAGATTAAATCTACCACATTTCCTTTGTCTGAAAAACCAGTTGTTTTAGTCAGAGAAATGCAGCCAGTGAGTTTTGCCTGGAGGAAGCCTATCTTGCATCCTTTTAGCACTGTGTCCTTGATTACTGTTGCCCTCCAAATCAGCTCTGAAAGCTGGCACACTGCTGGGGTCAGGTCTGCAGTTACATGGATCACTTCCTTCTTTCTTTTTTCTCTTCCCCTTTCACTTTTCCATCCATGGGCAGGAATTCAGCACCAAGCCCTCCAAGAGCTCACACACTGCAACTGTGCCCACTGGGGAAAAATAAAGCGAGTTCTAAGAGTCAGTCCAGGCCCCAGCTGGCTCAGCACCTCAAAAACCTGTCCAAAAKCTGGGAACTGCCAAAATAATGGTGCCTCGGTGTGTGATGGTTGATAGTGCCCATTGCTTTGATTCCTGGTCTGATTTAAGTTCATTCATAGTGTGTATCCATGTGACACTGCTGACTGAAAGTCCCTTCAGACTCCACCATATCCCTGTGACAGTGCTCTTTTTAGCAGCCCAGGAATRCAGTAATCAATGTCTCCCTGATTTTCTGGGCTGTTTGCACCCCATTTGTGTGTRTTCTTATAACAGGTAGATGAGAA